TTTCATGATATTATTATTGTAAATAAAACTACGAGCTTAGGTAATGTGATATTATTGACTAAAGTCTTTAATATTTATTTTTAATACACTGTTTTTGATATTTTTTCTATTTTGATTCTTAAAATGCTTTTGCCCGCGGGTGCCAATGCCCCAATTCCCATTTTTATTCTTTTAAATTTAAAATTGTATCAATTGCTTGTATATATTTTTTTTTGAGTCTTAAAATTCATTTGCCTGTGGGCGCCCATGCCTTCCTTCACATTTTTTTTTGAAAATTTAACTCTTGTTCAATTATTTTAATGCCGTTTTTTAATTTTGGATGGTCAATGAGTGCCTCATAAATATTAATTATTTCATTAGCTTATTATTGTAAATAATACTATGAGTTTAGAAATAATGATATTGTAGACCGCAGACTTTAATATTCATTTTTAATACACATTTCTTGATAATATTTTTTATTTTCATTCTCAAAAATCATTTGCCTGCTGGCGCCCATGCCTCCCTTCATATTTTTTTTCTATATTTTAACTCTATGTCAATTATTTAAAAACATTTTTAGAATTTTGATAACCACTTATTAGAACCTTATAAATATTCATTGTTTCATGATCTAATTATTGTAAACAAAACTATGAGTTTAGGAAAAGTGATATTGTTGACTGCAGTCTTTAATATTTATTTTTAATACACATTTTTTGATATTTTTTTTTTTTTGATTCTTAAAATTCATTTGCCTGCTGGTGCCCATGTCCCTTTCCCATTTTTTTTTTCAAATTTATAATTTTATCAAATTTTTTTAAAATTTATTTTTATTCGGTTCCTTATAAACTCATTTTAAGTTCTTATCATAAATTATATTTTTTGATTATTATCGTTGCTGGACGTATAGAATATAGATAATATATATTGGAAATTATAAATTATTATAAAAACCTAAATACTATAAATATATATCTTCTTCTTATTATTATATAAAATGCCAAATAAATGTTGATGGGGCTCGTTGGCAAATAATAAATAAAATTATTATTACATCCTAATTCTGTTATCTATTTGTGTTGAGACTGCTATAACCTCAAAATATTTATTTATTTATTCCTGTATGATATTTTATAGGTCGGGGTTATATACCATACCGACAGCACGGTCGCTTCCCAATCAGAAGGTTTAAGGATCATTAAGAATAAACACACACTAAGTAATGTCGTGATGATATTTATTCTTAATATTAAGTTCGCCAGATTTAATAAAACACGAAGTTCCGCATTGACGGGTGATAACCGGTGTACGAATCGAACCGCGCGCGTAGGTTTTTAAAAAGTGTCGTATCGTGCAAAGTTGTCGAGGCGACGGGCGACGTAAAAGAGGACAGGCTCGAAGTCGGCGGTGATTAGAGCTGGTAGGAAATGGCTTCGGCCGATAATCGCGAGTTATTAATATAGTTGTGACATTGTAAAAAGGGCAAGAGTAGGGACATAATATAATTCACATTTTTGCACGACGGTTAGACTAGCTAGATTAGAATTAAACAATATACACATAAGAGTACAATCACATAATAAGAGGAACATCGGTTGCGGTAACATAATAATTGATAATAATATATGATAACAATGAAATGTGTGAGTGTGGGACAAGGGCACCACATTACTCCCCCCCGGGCAGCAAAAAACGAACTTGTTTAGTTTTTTGGACGACGTCGATGTTGTTGGCGGCGTATGAGTGGTCCGTTAGCGGGTCTTCGCGGAGTATGAACGCTGGTTTCAATCGGTCGACGGACACCCATACCTGTCGATTGTTGGATTGTAGTTTATATAATATGATCTCAGTCCAAATACGGCCACCACTATAACCACAGTACATTATCCGCATATGATATTATATTGAACAATTTTACATTTATGATTGAGATACGAAAAAAATAATTGACTGACAGAGTACATACCAAATTATTCTAATTTCTCTATAAGTTTCACAATATATCATCTTAAATTATCCATTATTGGAGGATAAAAAATCCGATCGTTGGAGAAAGCAACTTTTTGGTCAAAGCGGCTGAGTCCAAGAATCCGTTATAAGTAACTAACAATTTTGAACAATGTTTTGTGTCTTGTATTTCGGTATTTGTGTACATAAAATAATAACATACTTATGATATTGCAGTTTACAATGAATTACATTTTATCAGTACAAGTGTGAATCCAGTAGCACCTATTTCTTTTATATTTACCCATCGGTGATACTGACAATATTTGAATCAACACACTGACAATTTATACATCAAAATATGGTCAAACCCGTGATTAATGTAAATGTGTCAAACAAATATACTGGCCTTCAATTCTTAGTATAAACATAAACGATTTAGTCTAGCATCACTGCAGTATACATTTTTAATATGACAAGTTAAATGATTCTATTCGTATACTATACATTAAAAAAAAATTGTTTTCATTCGGTTAATATCGATAACATTCACATCTCACATGAAAGTGAAAAATGTACAAGATACCCCATTTTTAAAGCTATATTCATATTAAAAGTGAGCATTTTTTATAATAATAAGTTATTATGTTAAAAAAAAGAAATGCAATGTTAATACTTAACATACTTGACATTTAAATTATTTCAATTAATATTGTGTCAACATATAGGTACTCCTCTCGTTTGAATTATGTATTCAATGTTTTAAGTCAATATCAATATTACATGTAAACATTTTTAATTCCTGAGCAAATTAAAAAAATCCACTGATATAAATTGTACATTTTAAAACTTAGTTTCCATTCGGTTGACATCAATAAAGTTCACTTATGAAAAATCTTAAACACTAAACAATCGATCTTAAATGCACTTAATTCGTAAATAAAAAATTATATAAGCCTTTATAATGAGTGTACGATCAATATTCAATGCTTTCAACCTGTGTTTTTTGATCTTTGGTATGGGTAGCATAAATTACAATCAAGGAAAGTTTAAGGCGATGTTTTATACTTTACGATGCATTTCCATTTGCTGCGAACTCAATACCCTTTATGACATAAATGCCAAAGTTGTAAGCAACATATTTTATTTTATTTAAATATATTTATACCATCATGCATAATATTTTGAAAATTCAATCATTTTCATCAGTAACAGAACTAACGTATAGTATAGAATGTTGTGATTTTTTTTTTTAAATACTTTTATTAAGTCTTAAAAACAAAACGAAAAATGTAATGTGTAAATAAATCAAAATTAAACTTAGTAAAGCCCAACAATTTCTAGTTTCTACAATGAATACTTATTGAATGACATTATAACCATCGTCCATCACTATTCTTGGGGAACGTATAAATATCAAAAGTTTAACAAAATAAAATCGACAAACGGTCCTGCAACGAAGTTGTGTCAATGTTTTTTTGATGAATACCACAATGTAAGATCTGTGAAGCTGCCTACACTAAGAATTAGTATCCTCTAGCATCTACATTAGACTTACTGTGTACTGTGTAATATTATATTTTGTTATGCTATAATTTGGTTGTATAATTAATGTATTAGTATAAAAAGGTTAGTTTAGGTTATTATAGGTCCTATAATATTCGCGGAAGTAATGCGCAAGCAGTCCCCGCGGCGCCGTCGGTTCCAAACAGAAAAATAAAAAAAAAATTTTAAAAAAAGGTCCTATAATATTATATATTATATAATATATAATAGTAAAGATTGTGACTTGCCCACAAAATCTTTTCAACCTAACCTAACCTGCCCGAGGTGGTACGCGTGCCATGGATTTGCCATCCCTGCAATGTACTATGGCACATTGTAATATGTGTATTATTTTTATGTTATTGTGTTTAACAGGCAACATATTATGTTGGTCTAGAAATTGTATAAATAAATAAGACTATATATAATAAATCTATAATATGTTAAATCCAGGTGCGTATACAAGGGAGAGGTCTAGGGGTTCACCTCCCCCCCCCCCCAAAAAAATTTCAGGTAATAAGTGTTATTATTTTTTAGTTTGGTTTTATTTAATTTGCCGCATTGTCATCGTAATGTGAATTATATTCTCGTTTAGTGCTCGATCAGTATCTAAAATCGTCAATTGAAACATTACATTGATATTGACGAAGCCATTAACAGATTTGCAAGACTAACTCGACAATTAGATTTTATATTATAAAAATACATGTTTTTAAAAATAATATACAATTTTTTAATAATGACGTTTTTTATGAGAAATAAATAGTAATATAATTGAAATTGTGTAAACTTCCTGTTAGGTTACAGGTTAGATTAAATTACATAAGTACGAAAATGTACAACGACCCCCCCCCCCGCCCAAAAAAATGTGTACGCGCTTGGTTAAATCTTTGCATATATGAAATAATTTAACTATGATAGTATGTAATATAAGTTCTATTTATAAATCATTGTGATTAACAGGCAATAATAGTTGATCCATACATTTTTGACTTAACGTCAATAGTAATAATGTTTTTTATGGAAATTATATTTATTGGAAATATAGTATCCAAAGTGTGGCGTATATTTTTTGATAATCAACTATCAGTGGTATTGACTAAACTTGAAGCAATTCACGAACAATTAATACGTCTGAAAGTGGTCAGACCAATGAAAATAAAATTAAATTGGTTTTTTATTACTGGAATAATTGTACATTTTATAGCAAGTAATGTACTTTTGGTAAAATGGCTTATACTTAGCTGCTTCGTGTACAGGCATTTACAACTGTCAACATTTCTGGTAAATAACTGCAATATATAAAATTATTTTTTATAAATTTATATTTTATACATAGTCCAGTAAATATATGTTGAAACTATGGTTTTTAGACATCATTGAGGGTTAAATAATATAAAAAACACATTAAATAGAATGAAAATCAAATTATTTAAATGCTTTCAGCCACTGAGTTGATTTCTAAACAACTTCCGGGGTTGGAATATAATATATTCAATAAACAATTTAATTCAAATATTTTCAGGTCATACATTTGGTTTCATCTATATGTACATGTGCTGCATTTTATGAATACGTACTACTAATATTATACATACGATGGAAGGTGTACATCATTAATGAACAAATCCCGTTAAGACATTCAACAATCAGTACCTACAGAGATATGTATTTGGAAGTTGTAGATTGCTTGAACGTTCTCAATAAATCAGTATACGGTATGCCGGTTATATCGACTATAATTGCGGAAAACGTTGGACGGCTGTTCTATACATTTTACTATCATATACTTTTTACTGTACCAACGATCATCGATGAAGAGGTTATATCACTAACCATGGATCTATCAATACGTATATTTGAAGTCATACTATTATACGGAATTGGTCAAGCAACTGCACAAGAGGTGTTTATTATGATAAACTTTATACAATTGTAGACTATTTGGAGATAACAAATGACATTAATGTCTACTAGTATTCAACTCGTATATATTCAATCCATACATTTATAAAAACCGATGTTGTTTTTAAATAAAAATTGATAAATAAAAAATTATAGGAAATTTATACTCGAGGACTGTTTTTTCTACGTATATTATTTTTATATTAAACGTTGTTTTTTTATTGCAGATAAATCGAATGAGTCTCGTGTTACACCAGCGGTCTTTGATGGAAAGAAATCCTAGAATAAGACGTCAGGTATTAATGTGTTTAGTAAAATATGAATAATATGTTAACCATTGCATATATTTTATATTTTATGGGATAATTGTTTTTATTGTTATTTAGATCAAGTTTTTCATCTTACGGAGATATCACGAACCCTATCGTTTTGTGCTTTGTGGAATATGTGAGATTAATATGAGAAAGTTATTTTTATTGTTAAATAAGGCAGTTGCTTATTTAATCATTCAAACTCTGTTCAAATTGAATAGAAATACAGGAAGAGATAATTATTTGATTCATAGTTAATTTATTAATAAATTGTGTCATCGGTCATTTTTTCTTTGTATAAGTATAATTGTTTTGAAGGTTTAGTAGTTTAGTTCTGAATATTGAGTATATATTTACAACGTTAAATCCTTAACGTGATTTATCAATAAGAATAGATTTAAAATATAAATATAATAGTATTTATAAAAGATATCATACATTTATAACTAATTTATTTTAAAGTAATATACAGCAGTTAACTTAAGCCATTATATAATTTGATAATGTTTCGGTTAAATACTTTTTTAATGTCTATTTACACTATTTTAATAATGTAACTTTGAATGTACTCAAGTCTAAGAAATTATGATATCATCGAGTATGTTATAACTGATAGTTGTTCTTCAAGTATTCATGATCATACTAACTACTAACCCGATAAAAAGTATTTAAAATAAATTCAAACCATCAGGTGATTAAAAGGTCATGATCCTATATTATTAACGGTGAATAAAGTAAAGATTAAAAAAATACACCAAACAGTTATGTTATACGGAAATGATTGATTTATTTTGCGGAGTCATTGCGGATACGAATTACAAATTATTGTATTGTTTGGGCTATGGCTTTTTTGAGTTTTGCAATGTACACTGTACAGGCTACATGAATTAACAGTTCTGAAACAAAAAAAAACACAATTTATCATAAATATATTTTAACAGCATAACAGTGTAAAAATATTATGAGAGCATAATGTTTTATAATATTTGTATACATATGAAAAAAAATTCGTATATATACATTTCTAACAACAATTATTATGTTTTAAATTTCATAAAAAAAAAAAACGTTAATAAATGCAAAAATATAAATATGTATATTTTTATAATAAACAGCTCTAAGCATAAACTAAGTAGTATTAACTTTTAACTAGGTTGACCTATACAATAATATTATTAAAGAGTATATAAACGATAATAACCATGTTGTTTGATTACACTCAGAGGCGGATTTCCCATTAGGCATTGTAGGCAACTGCCTAGGGCGGCAAAATTTGGGGGGCGGCAAATTTTGTAGTGTTTTATTAAAAAACATCAAACATATAGTACATCGTATATGATATTCAGTATACCAATCTATTTTGGTTCATTATAATTTATAGTCATTACCTATAAATATTATAGTAAACAATTATATAGAAAACAGTTTTTGATAATACTATATATTTTAACACGTTGGTATAGTCCACCCAGAGCCCGCATGGGTCATAAAAATATATAAAGCAACAATGGTTTTATTATTCTTATCGGGGATCGACGTCGCGCGTCGTCGTAATTTCGATAAAAATAAATACTCACACTGCCACACTATATTACTAATTCGACATATGACAATCATATGAACTCAGAACTGTAACGAATAATGATAATAATAATCAAAAATTTGGTTATTAAATTATTATATTATTTCGCAATCTGTGTTTGAAACATCGAGTCGCGTGTCGTAAATAACTTCAGGCGAAAAAAATAGTCTAAAAATTAAAATGGATGTCCACTACTATTGTCTATATATTAAATATTTAGAGTAGGTATTTTGGAGGGGTATTGTAACTTTTTCACCTATTATAGGAGCGGCAAATTTTTGGTGCCTATAGCCGTAAAAAAGATAAATCCGCCTCTGATTACACTATATAGTTAATCAATTAATAAAAATAATAATAATCGTAACGTCATTCAATTCGTCAAATTTAAGCAAAATATTATATTTGTATATTGTGTCCCATAAAGTGCGCAACTTTTGAATTTGCCTCCATTTTTTAAATATTTTGCTTGCAGCCCTGTTTTTATCGTTTCTAGTATCTACTATTACTCCGATTTAATTATCAGTTGTTTTGTTTTCTATATTGGTTTAGTCCATAGCCATATATAAGCAAATAGATAGCCGTCTCTGGTTTATATATTAAGGCAATATCAGCAAGGCAACATTAAATTGGAGATGTTACTGAATGTAAATATATAAAAATAAATACATTTTGATTGATACATAACTGTGTTATTAATTCCTTTAAAGTTGAGCACTTTATGGGACACCCTATGTTGGTATAAATAATTGTTATGATTATATTTATAAAAATGTATTGATTTTAGAATTGAGCAAAATCTAAGCCTATTTAACTCACCATCAATTGGCTGGTGGCTGGTGTGGCCTTGGTGACGGTCTTGGTGGCCTTGGCAGACTGGACTTGTCCGACGACGACGATGTTCATTGATACTTTTTCTGCGCCCATTTTTGGTTTTTTGTTGGTTTTTGAGTATTAAAGAGAAAACTAAAAAAAAATATTGTTAATTTGAAAATAAAATAAAACGATTTCAGTCGTTTCGTACTCACCAAAGAATAGATTTATAGATCTGCACAAAAATATGTGTTATTCCGGTTTTTAAATTTCGACGGCTTTATATACACTGCCACCAACCGATTTAAAGTTGGCGGCGGCGTGGCGTGATCATTGTAATATTATGATGATTATTTATTAATAACACGTTTAATACATCATATCTAATCATGTACTGTTGCACACAGATTATAAAGTTCACAAACTGTTAAATTACAATTTTAAAATTTCCAACTCAGCCACATCCTAATATAAATTATCGTAAGGATTGCCCCACAAAATCAATCCTGGGCATAAACAAGTTAAATTAACTTTAACTTATTTTAATAGATATAAACTTAATAAATAAAAAATTATTTTTAATCAAATTCAAGTTATAAATAATTAAGTAATAAATATAACAAAATTATTATTGATGATGCACATTAAGGGGATTCGATACCGTCATTTTCTGTGTTGGTCTAACACACGCGTTACTTAGTAATTTAGACGTGTTTTTTGCCAAATATACCAATTGATCTAATGAAGCGATAAGAATTCTAAAAACAGATTTGAATTTGTCGTCAAGTGTACTTGAAATCGACTTTCCCACATTTATGATTTTTTGATTTTAACTTCTCCGAAAATTGAAATACAAAAATTTTTAAATGCTCTTTTTTAATATGACATTTTTAGGAATTTGGGGGATAATATCAAAAATGTGGGAAAGTCGATTTTAAGTAGACTTAACGACAAATTCAAATCTGTTTTCAGATTTATTATCGATTCATTAGATCAATTAGTATGTTTGGCAAAAAACACGTCTAAATTACTATGTCACGTGTGTGTTAGACAAAAACAGAAAATGACTGTATCGAATCCCCTTAAAAATATAGTTCAATTTATTTCTTGTTCCATTTACCAGAAGTCTCATATCTCCAAGAAAAACAACTGTATTAAATACATAATATATAGCCATATAGGTATATATTGTGTATCGTATATAATATTAAAGTATATCATATTATCATACTGTGGCATACGGGCATATTGTAATAATAACAATAATACTAATTAATAAATACTAATAACTAAATAGTCATTTAGATACAAATCAATAATCACAAATATACATTTCTCAAGAACATAATATTATCATTTACTATTTTCGTCATAAATAAGTTATTTTTAAATTAAAACCAATTGAGTTATTGCTCATATATATATTTATATTAATATTTCAAATGTTTATATTAAAAAACAGCAAATATTGTCAGTAGATAAAATTGTCATAACCTACATGGTTCACCTTTTGTTCTCGGCTCTCTCAGCAGTCAGCACGCAATATTTCCAATATTGTACGTAGAATATTCAATATTGTGTTTCAGTTTTTATGTTACCATAATAGTTTGATGGATTATCAACGTCCAGTGAAGTACGTTTATTTTTTTGATTAAAATACCTATTTAATCATACAATTTTCACTACACTTTAGTCCACGCTTATCGGAGACTTGGAGATTTCTTATATTTTTGGTCCCCTTAAAAAGTATTCAGAGCTTAAAGTTAAGTACAATCCATAATAACATGTTATTTTTATTTAATAATTAAAAAAAATGTATAATGTATTATTAAATCAAAAAGGTGTTTTTATTTCTATATTTACTATTCTTGTAGTACCTATTACCTAATATTCTATTCATCAGCATCTAATAATTTAATTCATAGAAAAGCTATTGGCTAATTCCTGTGTTCAATAATATTTATGATTTTTATTATTTGACACCATATTGCTGCTTATTTATATGGATATTTAAAAAAAAAAAATTAAGTTGAATGTTAATGGAAAATTTTCATATAACTTTTAACCTAACTGAGTTTAAAAAAAAATAAGTTTACTGGTAACTTTCAAATTTTTAAAATGTTTTCAATCAACTTAACTTAACTCAGAAGGCTTGCACAAAATAATTACTTTTGAGAGTAAATGTATTTGTAATTAACACACGTAAAAAATAATATGATTAGTAAAACATATAGAAATAAAAGATTTTAAATTCTAAACTAAGGTTAATTAATTTTTCAAAATTTCGTACATTTTCAAATAATTAAGTTGAGATTTAAAATGTTCAATTTTTACAGATAAGAATTGAAGTATTTAACAAACAAGGATTCACATAAATAGTTCATACCAGCTGGAGAAAAATAATCTAAAAAATATATAAACACAGTTATTTTTACAGACATTGCATGTTCAAATTTGAACGAAATCCCAATCAAGAATAAAGATTTCAGTTATTTTGTTGTAATCAAAAAAAAATATTCGTCACTACTTGTGACTAATAGAGTGTTTAAAATTATATTGTATACAGTTTACACACTAACATTTTCAAATTCAATTTTTTTGGCAAAAATTAATTTCACCTAGGTACTGCAATAGTAGTAAATAAATTATTTTAATCGCCATATCATAAAATTCAATAATTGGAATAATTATAAAGTCTAACAGACTGTCAGACTTTTTTTACAATGATTAATGAATTCAAATTCAACACAGCCATTATTACAGTGACTCTTTAGACACCTAATGTCCTGTGGGCCGTTACCCACTACTTGATTGTTTTTTAAAATAAAATTTTATTTTTCAACAGTAATAGCATTATACTAAAAATAAGTAAAATTGTTGAATACTCATTTATGAATCATTCATAAATCATATGACAATAATTGCTAAATAATTTTACTTCGTAAATAATTTACTTAAAATTAGGTATTATTTGTGATTATTAATTTTATTAGTTATCCTAATTTTAAATAATAATGAATGATAATCCGACGCCTAAAAACTGTTTTTACGTGGATATCGCGAATCAATCATAACTTTATCATTTATAATATGTTTTTTACAAAAACCTTTACATTGTTATCGCTTGTACCAAATTAATCTAAACAAGCTGAGGATCACGCCACACCGTGCCATATCACTCGACTATAATCTCATGAGCTTTTAAAAAGGTATATAAACCAACACTTGTCTTTAAATCGTCATAACACAATTTCGTACAAGTCAATTGTTTGGTAAGCATCTACATCAGACGCCCAAATGTAGTATTGTTTTCGTTAAACAAGGTTTTTAATTTCTAGATTTCAATTTCAATCCTCACAAAAACCAACCAAAATCAAAAATGGGCGCAGAAAAAGTATCCATGAACATCGTCGTCGTCGGACAAGTCCAGTCTGCCAAGGCCACTAAGACCGTCGCCAAGGCCACACCAGCCACCAGCCAACTGATGGTGAGTTCGTAGTGTAATAGGTCATTTTATACGAATTTCAAATGCAGTCTGATTGATTTTGTCCAATTTTAATAATTATGTTTAAAAATTCAAAATAACATCTTATTTCAAAAAAAAAAAAACCTTTCATATGACTATTTTGTTCTATTGAGTTATGTTATAAAACAATTTAAATTAGATAACGTCAAGTCATTGGCTGCATAACTCATCAATCGAAACTCTTTCATAATATTTTCACTTAAACATTTAATTATTCATTATATATTTTACAGTAATTTCTTTTATAATTTTACACAACATATTCTTTATTTTATATTAATTTTATGTCTGTAATTATACGTAGTTCATGTTATATTTTTTGTTTTGTATAATATAACATTTACAAACACAGTTCAATGATACTTGATACAGTTTCAATTCAAAGCAATTTTTTTCATAAGATAAAATACTTTAATTAATTTAATTTTTGATTTGTTTCAGAACTGTTAAATCATGTAATCCGTCCATCTCAAACACAAAAATGCCATAACCTAAACAAAATATGTATTTATAATATTATGTTTTGACACAATCAAATAAATCAGTATATTCCAATATTTAACTTGTTTGATTTATTATTTATAAAACTAAGTATTACCAGTAAAAATAATTTCATATCAAGATACTCAATGAATTTGTAATGAAAAAAAATATAAAACTGAAATATAGCAAGCAATATAAATGTGCACGCATATTCTTAACCAATCATTTGTGTTATTTGGATATGCTTAAAAAAATAACAAACCTAGCTACTAATCTTTAGTAGTGTTTCAATTTTATAACCACAAAAAAATTTTTTGTGAAAGGACATCTTAAAATTATAAGACAAACTCGTCTAATACCCAACGTACAGAAATCAGTAATCTGATCAAATGATTAGTATTTATTTGTTTATTATATTATTTTTTTATACAAATATGTATTCTCATCAAAAATAAATACGGTAATGTCTCGGATGGTATTAATTTTATTAATAATAAAATACAATAGGACTACTATTTCGAAAAAATGTTGAACGCAATATCTGTGGACAAGTAACAAGAGTGTCATACTGAATTATTTCTTAAGGTTCAGTGACAATACACTTCGATAAAAATAATTAAGTTGTATAATTAGTACAATTATTATGCACAATGTGAAATTTTAAAAAATAATTTCCTACTAAATATTATAGCAATTAACGTTTTTTAAAACGGTAATGTGTAAGCAATATTGGTACATTACTGTGCAAAAAACATTTTTGTGAAATAAAATCATAGTATGTTTATCTTACATAGATTTTTGGAAAATTCATAGTTAATTTAATGGTTCAATAAAATTGAATGGCCCAATCAATTACACTGCATTTTGAAAACATAATTTGGTTAATTTGGGTTACAGTTTCTTCTGACAACACAATAACAAACAAGTAAAAACTGCATTTTCAAAACAATTTTTATTTTTAATCTAGAGAAATCGCACAATCTGTAAAATAATCTTTTACAATAAGAACAAGCGATTTAAGAGTTATAGAAAAGATAAAATAACAAACAATAGGTTAATTAAATTAAATTATTTTCATCAGTTCAGACAGGGAGCTTGGGTGAAGAGGCAATCCATTAATGGAACTTCTTGAAATGTGGTGGTGGGGTTAGTCTAAAAGTAGATCACACCACCATATTCGTTTTAGGCGCCTTCTAGGGTCACTAGGAATGGGGGGGGGGGGGCATATAGATCCGAAATCAAGAGGTTATTGCATTTTCAAAACTATTAAAATATTAAAAGTTAATAATTGTTTCAATTATTATAATGAAACTCTTCAGATTTATTTGTTTAAATAT